TGTAAGAACCATATGAACACAACTATATATATATATATATATATATATATATATATATATATATATATGAAACATTGTGTCAGATACGAACAAAAAATTGACATATATATGAACTTGATTTGCATAACATTTATGAACACAATATAAACATAATAAAAATAACTGCTATACGAAAGAAAATAAATAAAAAACATGTATGAACATAATATGAACAGCTGTTCATAGACTAAAATAATTAACATGAACATATATGAACAAATTGTATATAGATTTATTTGGTGCGAGTTAGATCAATCATTAATGACCATGAGATTAGTATTGTGAACATATATGAAAAACATGTGAGATCTATTTGGTTCGAGTTTACAAACTGTTCGTAACATAGAAGATCAAGATTAAAATAAAAATAAAAATATCAATATTATAAATGGATAATTTTAGGGATTTTATGATTTTGTAACTCCCCATTAATGGTATGGGAGTTATATAACAAATAAAATTACTTAATTACCCTTGACATTAAATTGTGAACATGATAGAAACCTAATATTAGAATGAATTGTGATTGGTTGACATGGTTTGCAAAGTTAACACAAAAACTTTGGTTAACATTTGATCTTACTCCCCCCCCCCTCTCTCTCTCTCTCTCTCTATATATATATATATATATATATATATATATATATATTCGGAGTTGGGTTCACGTGAGATCAGTCTGTTTTCGTGAAACATGTGAGACCATTTTTTTGCACTTGAAACTTCATAGCAAAACGCTGTGAGAAGGTAAAGAAAACCAAACAAAAACACTGTGAAAGTTACTTTTGTTGTGAAGTTTCAAGTGTAAAAAAATGATTTCATGGGTCTCACAAAAACAGGCTGATCGATATCACGTGATCACAAGTCTATATATACGATGATTCAAACATGATGGATTTGTTTATAAAAGACTACATTTGACATTATCATTTTGTTGGTATAGAATGGGAAAGAAAAAGAAATAGAATAAAGCACGTGTTAAATCTTATAAACAAAGGTTTGGCAAAGTGCATATAAGACTCGACAAATTCCACGTTCGAATTAAATTTTGCATCACAACATGAAAGGAAGCTCAAATTTTCGGTAAATTGAAAAAGGAGTCATTAATTGTGAACAAAAACTCGGTTTTTCGGTGTCCGTTCACGATTCTAATAAATGTAGTCAATTCATCAGCTACTTGGTTAGATTACGGTTAATACGATAAACAACATACATACATACATACATACATACATACATATATATATATATATGTATGTATATATACATATATAGTGGAGCGTTCAAATAAAAACCACTTAATTTGTACAAACCGTGAAAACCACATTCAACCAATCATAATTTTTTATTTTGTTCATTTTTTTTTGTAATTATGAGAGGTTGATTAACCATTTTTATTGTGGAGGGTGTTAATCATGAATATTATCATCTTCATTATTTTAATTTTAGAGAAATACATGAAACAGTTTCATTAAAATTTCATTGAATATTATATGAAACAATTTCATAATCATATATGGAACAAATTCATCAAAAAAAAAAGTATTATATGAAACAATTTCACAAGATTAAACAATTTCATGAATTTTTTTTATAAGATTAAACAATGAAATCGACGTATGAGGGTGGTTTGTACGGTTTGTACAAATGAGGGTGGTTTTCATTTGATCGCTCCTCTACATATATATATATGTATACATACATATATGTATACATACATATATATATATATATACATACATATATATATACATATATATATATATATATATATATATATATAAACTTGGGATCATGTGAGACAAAAGGTTTTTCGTAAGACCCGTAAGACCAATTCTCAACCCTTGGATTAGATCTACAATCTGAACATTCATAATCACAAAATTGCCATGAGACTTCTCAATAATCACAAAATTGCCACCGTACAACTTTAGATCATTAGCTTATAAAATTGGTCAGTGAACATAAATTGGTCTTACGGATCTCACGAAAAACTTTTGGTCTCACGTGAACCTAACCCTATATATATATATATATATATATATAGGGTTGGGAATTCACATGAGACCAACTTGTTTTTGTGAAACCCGTGAGACCACTTTTTTACACTTGAAACTTCACAGCAAAACGCTGTGAAGGTAAAAAAGTCGAACATTCATAGTAAAAACACAGTGAATGTTACTTTCACAGCGTTTTACAGTAGAAGTTTCAAGTGTAAAAAATTGGGTTCACAGGTCTCACAAAAACATACTGGTCTGACGTGATTCCAAATCTCTCTCTCTCTATGTTCGTATCACGTAAGTTAAATTTATAATACAATGTTAGGTTAATAAACGAATTGTAATACACATACCTCTTATAACTGTTTGTATATATACAAAATTTGCAACAATTAATATTATTAAAAAAAGCTAATTAAATCTCATTGTTGTGTATATATTTCTAATAAAATTAACCAAGCTATTACATCATAAATGTGCTTATTATGTTAGGTATTACAACGTTTTTAGATAAAACTCTTTATTTTTTGGTCGTATAAAGCAGTCTATTATAACGCTTTGAAATTGATGACATCTTATAAACCTGATTTTGTTGTAGTATATATTTTTAAAAAATGTACATAATTATTAAGTATCATTATCATTTGATATATAGATTTGAAAATGTGGTCATTATATAAAATACATTATCATGATGTTCACAAAATCAATTTATTACAAGTGGAGTAAAAAGATAAGGTATGGGTTGATAAGTTATATAATAAAATTAAAGATTTTATGATGAATAATTTATATTTAAATTATCACATTAATTTTTAATACATATTCTTTGGTAGTTGCAAATTGGTGCATGTGCTTGCTATTACTAATTGCATACAACATTAATCAAACCTACCTACCCCTCTCTCTCTCTCTCTATAGTTTGTTTCAAATATAACCCGTTGTATTTGTACAACCAATGCAACCAAATAAATTGAGATATTCATGAAAATGATAAGAGTTCATTTATTATGATTTGAATATTTATGTAAGATGAATATGGTTTATTAACTATAATCAATACTTTATATTAGGAAACAATCAAAACTTCTATGAAATCACATATTAATCAAATGAAATGGACGGTTGAGATTGGTTTGTATTGGTTGCACAAATGTCAAGGGTTGTATAATAACCAACCCCCCTCTCTCTCTCTCTCTCTCTCTCTATATATATATATATATATATATATATATATATATAGACTTGGGATCATGTGAGACCAATAGTTTTTCGTGAGACCCGTAAGACCAGTTCTTAACCCTTGGATTAGATCTACAATCCTCAGATCTGAACATTCATAAATGCCACAAGACTTCTCAATAATTACAAAATTATCAACGTGCAAGTTTAGACCATTAGATCATATCCTTATAAAGTTGATCAATGAACATAAATTAGTCTTACGGGTCTCACGTGAACCCAACCCTATATATATATATATATATATATATATATATATATATATATATATATATATATATCAATGCAAAGTCATATACCCAACCCTTACCCCAACCACACCAACCACCACTACACCAATTCATTGTAGTTTCAAAATCTTATAATTTTTTACATTACGACAGAATAATGGAATGGTGGCACATACCAACGAATCCAGTAAAATAGGTTTGCCCATGACCACCACCTCCAACAATCATCACCTGTCCCCCCACCCCACAGGTGCTAACTTTTAATCCCAAAGCCCCTGATGAACAGTCAAAAAAATCTTTAATGGCTTACAAGACTAGATCCGATGACCACTAAAGAGAATCCAAAACTCAATTCTTTTTAAAGTATATAATATTTATATACGATAAATGCAACAAAAAAACTTACACACCCTCCTTATCTTTGGTGAAATTTA